TAAATATGTTGTATATGCATATACCAATTTCTCTGTGACATTCACAGTACAATAACACACCTTTAATACCTCCGAGTAAATGGGTGTATATAGGAATACATCAAAGTATGTGTCCATGGCTCAAAATATACATCATTAATACCTCGGAGTAGATATACATATCAGAGTACATTCCTTCCTATCTTAAACCACACATCAGTGCCTGTGCTTACAATAATAGACAATACCAGATTTAAGTTTGCAGAAGGACACAAAACGATCCAGACACATCACAAGCTTCCTTCTACAAACTTAACCGTACGGTTCTCATGCTGCCTTTAACTGCGAGACGTGAGCCCAGATTCTGTTGTGGCCGTCACTGTCTGCCAACTGCACTGAAACTGGCGAGGTGTACTTGACCAGGGTGAAAGGTCCCCTATACCTGGGGCATAACTTAGCAGCGACCTTATCCGTTGCTCTACTTTGGGGATAATTCCGGAGCCAGACCCAGCTGCCAATAGAAAACAGGGATGGTTGGCGACGGCGATCGTAATTCCTCCAGACTGCCGCATGAGCAAACCGGAGATTTCTCCTCGTGGCCTCCCATCGCTCCTGAATGGAAAGTTCATCCGGATGGTCAGGAAGTAAATCCTCGATGGACCACAGGTTAGACAGTGGCGAGTTCGCTGTAAAAGAAAAAATGAGGCTGAAGGGGGTCGCCTTGTGGGATTCATGGTGAGCAGAATTAAAGGCAAACTGGAGCCATAACAGGTTTTCATCCCACTTTGAATGGTCCTGGTGATGGTAGGCAATTAGTGCGGCACACAAATTCCTATTAAACCTCTCAGCATGGGAAGTCTGAGGGTAGTGGGGAGTGGTGGTAATATGCTTAATTCCCTGGGTAAAACAGAAATTGCGGAAGATACGAGATGTAAATTGAGTGGCATTGTCAGAAACAATGGTCTCGGGGATGCCGAAAGTGGAGAAAATACTACCCAATGCCCTAGTAGTCGTTGCGGTAAATCCACACAAACTTAGTAAAAGCGTCTACGCAGACCAAGGCATGAGTATTACCTGATCTAGATCGGGGAAAATTACCCACAAAATCTATGAACAATTTCTCCATCGGCCGGCTTGCCACTTCCGACGCCAACATACCGTACTGGGCGTGTTGGGTGGGCTTACTGAGCCCACAGAGCTGACACGCTCGAACTCTGCCAGCGATATCGGCATCCATGCCCTTCCATATAAACGACTGGCGAATCTTCCATAGAGTCTTACGTACTCCTAAATGACCCCCGCAAGGAGAGTCATGGAAATACGCAAACAGCGCGGGTACCAGAATTGCGGGAATTACCACCTTCGGCTTAACGTCGAAACGGGACTTACAATAAAGTACGCCCTTCATCAGCGAATATCCTCGTACTTCTTCCCCAGCTATTAATTGGCGAATGATGGGACTGAGCACTGGATCAGCGTTCTGGTGCGTAGCAATATCTTCAAACAGCATAGGGAAATCTAAAACCATTGGACATACCGGGATATCAACAGGGGTATCATACATTCGCGACAACGCATCCGCAATGAAATTCTGGCTTCCCTTGATGTGTTGGACATTAAATTTGAAGGAAGATAATCTTACCACCCAACGACCAATCCTTCCCAGTTGGCGGGGATGTGATAAACACCACGATAGAGCCTGATTATCGGTCTGCAGATCGAATTCAATATGTTCCAAGTATGGTCTGAATTTCTCCAGACCAAACAGGACCGCTAGACACTCCAGCTCGTATGTGGAGAATTTGCGCTCTTGGTGGGACAATGTACGAGACGCGTAGGCAATAGGTTGTAGCTCCCCATCAAACTCCTGTAATAGAACTGCGGCCACAGCAACGGAGCTGGCATCTGTCTGAAGGGTAAATTTTCTTGAAAAATCCGCGGTTCGGAGGATAGGAGGGTTGATAATAGCTAGTTTAAGATCCTCAAACGCAGACTGCTGCTCCGTTCCCCATGCAAACTTCTCACCCTTCTTTCGAAGCATGTTAAGGGGTGCCGCGCGTTCAGCAAAATGGGGGATAAATTTATGGAAGAAATTTACCATACCGATGAATCTTGCAATCCCCTTCACATCCCGGGGAGGAGGGAAATTCTTAATGGCTTCGGTTCTACTCGGGTCCACGGTGATTCCTTCAGGTGAGACAATATGTCCCAGAAACGACAAGCGGGGAGTAGCAAATTTAACCTTATTTGGGTTAACAGTTAACCCCGCCTGACGCAACCGACTGAAAACCTCATGCAAATGGAGTATGTGTTCCTCAAAGGAATCACTGTAGACCACTAAGTCGTCCAAATAGTGGAAGACGAACTTAAACTTTATGTCCGAGAAAACCTTATCCAGGAGCCGTGTTAAAACCTGCGCTCCAGTGGCCAGCCCAAAAGGCACTCGAGTATACTCGTATAAGTTCCAGTCAGTGGCAAAAGCAGTTAATGCTTTGGATCGTTCAGTCAGACCAATCTGATGATATGCTGAATTTAGGTCGAGCGAAGTGAAAACTTTGGCTCCTTTGAACCAGTGTAAACATGAGTGTATATCAGGCAAGGGCACTGACTCGATTTTGATTTTTTTATTAAGCGCCCGGTAGTCCACAACCGGACGAAAACCATCTTGGCCTTTGGGGACGAGGAAGATGGGACTTGAGTATGCCGACGTGGAGGGTGTAATGATACCTTCGTCAAGCATTTGACGTATGTGGCGGCGCAAGATATCCATTTTAGGTGGCATCAACCTGTAGGGCGGGACCTTAACCGGAGATGGGTCGATTAGCTCGATGTCATACTCCAATAGATTAGTGAGTCCCAACTTAGGCGTTAGGACGTCCGGAAAATCCTCAATGAGCTGCTTCAACTGAGTAGCTCTTACGTCATTCAAATAGGGAAATTCAGGGTGAGACTGGGAAGCCGTGCACACCCGCGTAACTTCCAGGGTCGAAAATCGACGCTGTAAGGTCATTCTATTGGTGGGGTCGAATTTACAGAAGGCAAACCCTTCCTGTATATCAATCATCAAGCCAACCTTGCCCAAGAAATTGTCCCCCCAAATAACTGGTTAGATCAAATCCGGGACCACATAAAAAGGAAACTTCAAGGTATACCTATCAATCCTGACCTTGCTTTCAACTCCAATGTGCACCGGAAAGGTGTGCGCCGACGCAGTGACACATCTCACAGTGACGGGATACGTGTTTATAGTGGGGAATTTCCTCTTAAGCTTCTCGAAAACGGTAACCGATATTAATGAACGCCCAGCCCGAGTCTAAGAGCGCGTGCACTGGCCCGAAACCCAATTCCACTTGAACACACGGCAAATGATACTCAGAAACACCCTGTATACTCTGACTCTGCAAGGTAGAAACCGTAAGAGTATCACGCCTGGAAATGGCAACAGGCACGTGGGAACTAGAGGACTGCGCGTCAACTTCTAGTCAATCACGTCGACCTTGGGATAAAGACGGCTGGCTAGGTAATGCCGATAACTTAACACGGCACTCTTGCCGGATGTGCCCAACTTTGTTACAGCGATAACAAACCTTTTGGGAAGGTTGCGACGTAGGGTTACCAGACACAGAAGACTCGGCAAGAGTCATGACAGTGGGTGGATTGCGCGATCGAGAGCTCTGGCTCTCGTCGCTCGCCGAAATGTTGTGTGCATATATGCACATGTTGTCCAGTTCGGCATAGGTGGCAGGTATATCACAAAAAACTAACCGACTTCTTTCCCTAGGGTGGAGCCCATCGAGGACATTTCTGACCACAAATTCCTCGTCCGCATCCTGAAGCAGAACAGCAGCAATTTCTTTAATGTCAGTAATATATGCAGCTAGGGGCTCGTTGGCCCTTTGGGCTCTCAAATAATGGGAACTTATCAATGGCAACATGGCACGTGTTGGAATAAAAAATTCAAGTATACTCTCATGATAAGCTTGGAGAGTATCCCCACGCCGTATTGCGTCAAACGTTTTTGAGGCCAATGCCCCTTTGGTAAAACTATAAAAGACTTGCAAGACGTGAACAGGGGGCACTTGGAAAACCGTAAGGATGTGCCTACTCCGCACTAGAACTCGCAAAATATTAATCAACTGAGACAAGTCCAATCCGTCCGTGACGGGAAGGCCCTGAAACATTTGCTGTACTGGATTCGGCAATTTTGCAAAGACGAAGGGAAAGGCAGAAATACTACCAGTGTAAGTGGACACCCCTGTAGTGGGTAGATTACCCAAGATTGAGCGATAATTTCGTTGACTGGCCGGATCCACAAGAAGAGAAGGGGAATGGGTTAAATGTTCCATGTGGGGAGTGGCAGAAAATACAACAGCTGATTCGGCCCTACCTTCAGCGTTGTGCAAATTGATCGTACTTGCAGCGAGCGGCGGTACTGATGACGTATGCTCCTCGGTCTGCATATTGCTGTTGATTTCTGCCGAAAGTGACTGCACTTGCTCAGGCAATGTCAGTGCGGAAGACTCCAGCTCGGGTGGTATTCTTCTAAACTGGAACAGATGGCGGATATTCTGAGGTTCTCTTGCTTTCCTCATTCCCTTACGCAAATCCTTGAACAATATTTATTATCAGGCCATGGCAACTTCCTTATACATCCCTTCTAATTCATTATTCACTTAAAATCCTACAACCTGAAACTACAGAGTTTAAGGTACTGGCAGTCATGAAATAAACCATAATATTATAGTCTCCATTTGATTAACTGAACTGAACTGACAGTGAGGGTTAGAGGGGTGTGTGTGCTAAGATTTACCACAAGCACTCAAATCACTACTGGGTCTAATGTGCACCCCCAGTCTTGTTTGGTTCCTTGAAAGCCTCAACCTTAGTACTAGAACCAGAACCATCCAGAGTGAGACCTCCTAGTATTCATGAGCTCTAATCACGCATAGCCACAGATCTCAGGTTGGGCACGTAAATCAGTCTCTTCTTTGAGGCTACTGAGAGCAGGATAGCCCAGCTACCCTCCTGTTATTCACAAACAGGAACAGCAGGGCCCCCACCACGGGTCCCAGCTGTAGATAGTGGTCAAGCCTTGAGTTTCCTTGAGAAGAGTGTTTTTTTTTCCTGACCCACTTCTTCTGCTAGCGATGCCATTCTTCTTGATGGTGAAGAAACTAATCTCCATCGCAAGGACCCTTTGGTCTCACCCTCAACGGACTCACCAGGGCCTCTGAAAGGTTTTCGTTCCTTATTTGCTCAAATGTACACAACATCAAAATTCGCTCTCGCTATTCTTCTAGCGAACGTCAAAACAGAACGTGAGGTTAAGTTTCTAACAGCATCACCTTACAACCTGTCACAAACTACGTCCTAAACTGATAATCTTTGACAAAAAGTAATATTGCGTAGCATTGGTCTTTAATACCATTTCTGTTCCCATGCGTGAAACGCACCTCCGGCTGCACAGAACATTGTGCCAATCTGTAGTGATAAGTTTATAAAGGCGCGGCTGTCTACACGGCTGTTTACGCCTGGCCACTCATTTAAATGTCTTCTTAATCTTAAATTCATCATGTGTAATTACCTCGTGCGTTTTCCGAAGTAAATTCTGTATTATCCGACATGGTACTAATTTGTCATCTACAGCCTAGTCAGCCTATACCACAAGAAGTAAATACCGTAACAT